TGGAGAGGAAATTAAGCAATAGTGCTTCTATCCAGGGTATAAGGACTTTTTAAAGACCACCCTATTTGAAGCATAATGGATCTGCTTAGCAGCCAGATTCAAAAGCTAAGACCTAATTTCATCTGGGCCAGGGGTCCTTGAATTATGAGGAAAATATGCAGTTGCAGAGGAAGTATCAAAAATTACTGAGGAAGTCAGGCACGGTGGTGCCTCTAATCCCAGTACTCAGGGGGCAGAGGCAAGTAGATCTCTGTGAGTTTGAGGCCAGCCTGGACTACAATCAAGTTCCAGGACAGCCAGGGCTGCTACACAAAGAAACCCTGTCTCAGAGAAAAAAAGGAGGAGGAGGAAGAAGAGGAGGAGGAGGAGGAGGAAGAAGAGGAGGAGAAGGAGGAGGAGGAGGAGGAAGAGGAGGAGGAGGAAGAAAGGAATATACATTTTAAATGGCAAAGGTTGGTGATTTCCATTGCTGGGGAAGGTGAAAAGTGACTAGAACTCTCTATTACTGATGGGAATATTAAACAGAATAAGCACTTTGAAAGGGTTTAACAGCCACCTGTTTGATCCAACCAATCCACTCCTAGGCAAAGGAATACAAAAAAGACTTGAACACATGTATCATGTATGGGGATATAGCTCAGTTTGTAGAGTGCTTGACCAGCATGCACACATACACACACACACACACACACACACACACACACACACAACCAGTAGAAATTCAATTTTTAGAGCTGGGCATTGCCCAGAGCACTTGCCAAATCAAAAACTTATACACAGATGGTCACAGCAGCTTTGTTTGTAATTGCCAGAAACTGGAAGTGACTGACATGACCAGCAACAATTGAAGGGATAAATTGCATGGTGTCCATATAAGAGTATAGTGACTTGGCAGTAAAAATGAATTATTGATATATGCAACAATATGAACATATCTTTAAATGATTATACTGAGTGAAAGGAGGCAGACAAAGTAGAAGTAATCCTGCAACAGTCTTCCTATGGAAAATTCCAGAAATATGCAAACAAATCTCCAGAAACAGAGAGCAGTTTTGGGGTCACTTGGGGTGGAGGAGTCAGAAAGATATTCCAATGGTTAAGAGCACTGCTCTTCCAGAAGAACCAAGTTTGATTCTCAACATCATGTCAGGAGGCTCACAATCACCAGCTCCAGCATGATCTGACTCCTCTGGCCTCCTGTGTACCTGCAAAAACATGCAAACATGCACGCACACACTCTCTCTGTCCTCTCTCTCTCTCTCTCTCTCTCTCTCTCTCACACACACACACACACACACACACACACACACACACACACACACACACACACAGGCTTAAAATAAATATTAAATCAACCAGGACAGGGTTGATCATGGTTGTTCATGCCAATAAATTCCAACACTCCTGAGGCTGAGATAGGATTACTGCAAGTCAAGACTAGCTTGGGCTACATAGTAAATTCCAGGCAACAGAGTAAAACACTGTCTCAAAATAAATAAATAAATAAATAAATCATAATGGGAATGCTTAAGAAAATGTAAGAGTTGGCTTAATTTATTAGATTTGTAGGAGTAATTAAAATATTAAGGGATTTTTAATCAGGCAATTGAAAGAAATAATAAAATAATTAAGGGAAGGTGACTATAATTTATAAATTCAATTTAAAATTTTGAAGTAAGTTTAATGAATTATTTATTCAAAGGAGACCAACATTAATCAAAAGGCCCTTCAAAGTGATTGTTAAAATTTTCTAAACTCATAAATAGAATGGAAAGTTTCAGAGCTTACACAGAATTACAGAGCTTACAGAATTAAACTTAAAAGTCCTTAAAAGGATGAACTCTTTTTTTTTTTTTTTTTTTTTTTTTTTTTTTTTTTTTTGGTTTTTCGAGGCACGGTTTTTCTGTGGCTTTGGAGGCTGTCGTAGAACTAGCTCTTGTAGACCAGGCTGGTCTCTAATTCACAGAGATCCGCCTGCCTCTGCCTCCTGAGTGCTGGGATTAAAGGCGCCTTGTTTAAGAACTAGGTTTTTTTTTTTTTAATTTTCAATTTTAACAAATCAAAACCCAAACTTTAATCCCTTTAATCCTAGTACTCAGAAGGTAGAGGCAGGCAGAACTCTGTGAGTCTGAGGCTAGCCAAGGCTTTTTTCAAAAAAAAAAAATCTTTTCAACCAAAGTTACTATGAATGATCTTTGGCATTCCTCAAAGCTCCATGGGTCAGGGTAGGGTGTGGCACCTACAATCTCACCCAAACATACCTCTCTCCTGTCACCCGAAACTCATCAAGTCACTGAGGCTTTCAGAATCTCAGTTCTCTTATGCATGAAAGGAACGTCTATCAAAATAAATACTACACTTACTTTAGTGATTTATTATTAATAAATTTCTTATCAATGGACAGACAGCACATCGGTGGGGGGGGGGGGGGGC